CCCCCCCCCCCCCCCGCTTCTCTCAAGACACCGTCACTTCATGATGGGTTGCACCAAGAATGGCTAATTTTATCCTCTGCTGGTAATATTGTTGACAGCGCCAGATAGATCTACGACTCCACTTTTATCCCCTCAGCAAGGACATCGTGCATCGTGCACACAGTGCGCTGGTTTGTGATGCGAAGACCAAGCGAACAACCAGCTGCCCCCCCCACCCCACCCCCCCCCTTTAGGGAATGACCGTAGTCTACACTATAAAATCATCCTGTGTGTAGGAGGATAAAGACAGCCGCTACATGAAACCCACACGAGGTTTTGCTTGTTTGTGATAACGACGGGCGCGTACGCAGACGCGGATACAGTCTACACCTGGGCCAACCGCAGCGGAGGCACCAAGCATGACAGAGAAAGAGAGCGTGAGGAATAATAATCGGCTCTGGTGAGCATCTGCTGCACGGCGCACTCAAAGCCAACCCGATCACCGGACCTTGATCGCCGCGCTGAGAACCTTGTCGTCGGCTATCTTGAAATTCCCTACCACCTTACGGCCGTCCTTCACCAGGAGCCGTTGGCCCGTCTCGTCCAACATGACCGTGCACTTCGGGCAGTTCTGCGTTGGCCAAGTTTATGATTCGCGGGTGGTATGTAGACAGCGCGACGGGGGTGAAGGAATTCCGAGCGGCTTAATCTGCATGCTACACTGGCTATTTGTTTCCGCGAAGTATACGACAAGAGAACTACCAGGCCGAGGAGGGACGACACAGCCCGGGTGGCGGTGGAGGGTGGGGAGGGATCCTGGCACCACAATTTCAACGTAGATGAGAAGTTACGTCGACGAAGGCCCACGACACGAAGGGAGTAATAGGAGGTACAGGTCGACCCACGCCAACGTTTACACACGTTTCGTGACTTCATTCGTGGACAGCAACAAAAGCAGGTACCCCCATCCGCGCCCCTCCATCTTGACTGCTGCTCAATACAAGACACAACCGGTGCGTCGTGACCCTCCGCGCCCTTGGTTCCAACCGACGACCGTAAAAAGCAGAACAAGACACCAACGCGCCCCTGCTTTTTGCCCGGTTTGCCGCTAACAATCCGAGAAGGTCGAGTCGAGCCAGTTCTCCTGAATTGAAAGGGTTGAAAATATGCGGTGCATCGCTACATGCTCGACGCAGCAGCACGCGCCCCGATCGATCACGATAGGCATGCATTTGTGGTAGGCGCACCCCCACGTGAACTGCCAAGCGAATTACGTTTGATACGGACGCTTAGCTAATGCCCGAAAACCCGCTCTCACCTTCTTAGAGTCAGGCCTGCCGCTTTCCCAAACCGGTGGCGCCGGCGTGGGATCACCTGGCTTGCCCTTCCGCAGGACAAGGTTCCCGTCCTCTGAAACAAGAGAGCAACAGGCCGATACAATTTGCGCACAGCAGCACGAAACGAGTTGACAACAACAACTTAAGCGTCTCGCACAACATCACACGCCAACAGTGCAAAACATCTAAAACGCACAAAAGGGGGGGTGGAAACTTCAACCATACTTTCACTATTTTAGTTGCCCACTCCTCTGCTCGCCAACAACAAGAGAACTCCCCACCCTCGCGCACACTCCTTTCCGGCTACAACAGCCCATCTGTAATAAGCCTCAATCCAGCGATGCAACACAAGCCGGGAGGTGTGTGGAGAATACCCATTATG